TGCTCCACACGGGCTTAGTTACTCTGGGGCATGTAGGATCTTCCCGGACCACAGCTCGAACCCGTGTCACCTGCATTGGCAGGTGGACTCCTAACTGCTGCGCCACCAGGGAAGCCAGTAATAGGGTTTTTTTTTTTTTAACATCTTTATTGGAGTATAATTGCTTTACAATGATGTGTTAGTTTCTGCTTTACAACAAAATGAATCAGTTATATATATACATATGTTTCCATGTCTCTTCCCTCTTGCGTCTCCCTCCCTCCCACCCTCCCTATCCCACCCCTCCAGGCAGTCACTAAGCACCGAGCTGATCTCCCTGTGCTATGCGGCTGCTTCCCACTAGCTATCTATTTTACGTTTGGTAGTGTATATATGTCCATGCTTCTCTCTCGCTTTGTCACAGCTCACCCATCCCCCTCCCCATATCCTCAAGTCCGTTCTCTAGTAGGTCTGTGTCTTTATTCCTGTCTTACCCCTAGGTTCTTCGTGACATTGTTTTTTTCTTAAATTCCATATATATGTGTTAGCATACGGTATTTGTCTCTGTCTTTCTGACTTACTTCACTCTGTATGACAGACTCTAGGTCTATCCACCTCAAGTAATAGGGTTTTGATATGAGTCTGTAAGCAATTGATTTATTATGGTCTCTGTGCAGTCAAACCTGTCTGCTAATGATAATCTGTATTTGCAGCCACTCCCCAGCGCTAGCATCACCGCCTCAGCTCCATATCAGATCATCAGGCATTAGATTCTCATAAAGAGCGCGCAGCCTAGATCCCTCACATGTGCAGTTCACATTAGGTTTCGCGCTCCTATGAGAATTTGATGCCGCTGCTGATCTGACAGGAGGCGGAGCTCAGGCAGTAATGTGAGCGATGGAGAGCGGCTGTAAGTACAGATGAAGCTTCACTCACTCGCCTGCTGCTCACCTCCTGCTGTGCAGCCCGGTTCCTAACAGGCCATGGACTAGTACTGGTCTGTGGCCCGGGGGTTGGGGGACCCCTGTTTTAGACCTTTAGGTAGCGGAGGATTTCTTCTTGATATAAAAGGCATTGATGGATTTGATTATTTTAAAATTTAAAACGTTGCTCATCATTCTTAAAGAAGAAAGTAAGAAGTTACAAATTGAGGAAGATATTGGATGGTAAAAGGTTAGTGTCAAGAATGTATAAAGACCTCATACAAGTTAATAAGAATAATGCAAACAACCCAATATAACAGTGAGTAAGAGACATGAACTGATATCTTACCAAAGAAGAAACACATATGGCCAATAAACCTGTGAAGAGATTCAACATCACTGGTTAATGTTGAGATGAAAATTTAAAAACATAACAATATATGCTTTTTTACACCCAGTTGATTGGCATCTGAAATATCTGACAATGCCAAGCATTAGAGAGGGTGTAGGTGCCTAGGATCTCTTACCCATTGCTAGTAGAAGTATAAATTAGTGGGGTCTGATATTACCTCCCCATGTTGAACATACACATAGTCTGTGATCCATCAAATTCTGCCTGAGATACATGGTTGTGCTTGTACCACAGGAGAGCATGTTCATAGCAGCATTGTTCACAAGGGCAAAATCCCAAAATAACCCAAAGTGCCCAGCAGTGGGAGTATGGACAAATAAATTGTAACAAACAGTAGAATGTTATTCTGTAGTTAAAATGAAGAACTACGGTGGCGTGTAACAATATAGTTGAATCTTAGCAATAAGTGAAAACAGTAAGTATCAAAATATTGCATATGACATAATGGCTTTTTAAAAGTTGAATTCAACTAATGCACACATAACATACTTTCAAGAAATATATATATGTATGTATATATACACACACATGCATATGTGTGTGTATGTGTGCAATATAGTCTTAAAAGGAGAACAAGTGAATGATGACAGGATTCAGAATAGGAGCAGTTATTAAAAAGTAATTAACTGGGGATTCCCTGGTGGCGCAGTGGTTGAGAGTCCGCCTGCCGATGCAGGGGACACGGATTCGTGCCCCGGTCCGGGAAGATCCCACGTGCCATGGAGTGGCTGGGCCCGTGAGCCATGGCCGCTGGGCCTGTGCGTCCGGAGCCTGTGCTCCGCGACGGGAGAGGCCACAATGGTGAGAGGCCCGCATACAGCAAAAAATAATAATAATAATTATAATAATTAACTGAATGAAGTGAGCCATGCATGGACTAATGATGAGAACGTGTCATGAAACAAGGATTAAGAGGTTAATGATAATCAATAGTAATAATAATAAATGTTTATTATAAGAAGTTCAGTAAAAGAGAAATATGGGGCATCCTGAAAGTGTGTACTTGCTGTACCTGATCTACTCTGGGGGCTCCAGGAGGGCTTCCATAAGGAAGTGACTTGTGTGCTTAGCTTGAGGGATGAATAGTAACTAAGCAGGTGAAAAGGTCAGGGAAGAACACTGCAGACGGAGAGAACAGCCTGCATCAAGGCCTTGAAGTGGGAAGGAGTGACATAAGTTCAAAGCCCTGAACTGTAATCAGTGTGGCTGAGGGCAGAGGGAAAAAAGGGGACGGAATACAGGAGATGATGCAGGGAGGTAAGTGGGTTGGGACCAACTCTTTCTGAGCGTTTTAAAGGATTCTCGTTTTATCCTAAAACAGGAAATTGTTCAAGGAATTTATACAGAATTTAATTAGTTTGATTTTTCTTTGCTCACACTTTTGTTTCTTTGGGGTTAATTCCTAGATTGAAAGGTACATAGAAATATATTCATGTTTCAAGATTTGGGGTATATACTGCCAAGTTGCCCTCAAGAAAGCTTATAAAATATACTTTTCCACCTACAGTGTGCGATATAGCATGATTGTACAAATGCCAGCATTGAGCATTAAACATTTAAAAAGATTTCCAGTATAGAAGGATAGTGACATAATTGTTGCTTTGTGTCTATTTTATTATGAACATTGAAATTTAGAAAGTGCATATATGCAGTTTGTCAGATTGTGTTTTAAAATATTAAAAAATATTTTAGTCAATATTAAACATTTTTTTATCCTAATACTTTTTTTTTCTGTTACTTCCAAAAAGGACTATAGCATTTTAGCCAAATGATTAAGCTAAACAAGTTGTTCAACTTACAGAAAATGTGATTCAATACCAAGTAAGGACTCAAGAAGTTTGGAATAATTGAACTGGTAGCTTACTTTCTTCAGAGTCTACAAAACAATAAATTTTCCAAAAATTTTCTCGGTTTGCTCACTGTTGTTTCTTACATCCTACTCCTTCTCTCTGGGTGTTCTTTTCTTCTTACTGAAGTCTATTATTTAATGACTTTTTCAGTATGGCTGTGTGGGTGATACGTTTCTTAATCTTTGTATGTCTAAAATTGTCTTTATTTTGTACTTATTCTTGCATGACAGGTTGTTTCCACTCAATCCTTAGAAGCTGTTTCTCCAACATCTTATGATATTCATTGTCTTCTGATATCTACTGTCTTCTGATATCAATTGTGTGCTGTCAATCTTACAGTCAGTCAAAAAAGTCATTTTGTCTTTAGTCTCTGGTAGCTTTTAAAATCTTTATCTTTATCATGGGTTATCTGAATTTCACCATGCTCTGTTTATTTTTACTTATGCCACTTTGTATTCATTGAATACTTTAAAACACATGTCTTTTTTCAGTTTTAGAAAGTTGTCAGCACTCACACCTCAAATATTGCTTTTTTGCCATTCTCTCCATTTTTTCTTTTGGGACTTCTCAACCTCTCTTTGACTTATGTTGGCATCTCTTTATTTGTTCTCCATCTTTCTTAACTATTTTTTCATGTTTTGAATCTGTCTGTCTTTGCTGCATTCTGAGTGAGCTCCTTGCTACTATCTTCTAATTCACTGATTTTATCTTCAATCATGTCCAGTCATGTTTGTCAGCTCTATTAAGAAAACTGTTTAGCTTATTTCTAGGATTTCTCATTTTTTTCTCTTAACCCCTTATTCGTTTTTCATCTCTGCTTTTTAAAAATAGTTTAGAGTTCTCTTGATGGATGTGAATCTATCTTTGATTGTTGAGTACTTTAAACATTTGTATTTTAAGCTCATCTGATCCCAGGCCATACATGTGAGTTGAAGGAAACTGGCAGTAGGAAGAGTAGAGGCCACAGGAGTCTGGGCTCCTGTAATTTACTTATGCCTTTAGGACTGTTAAGCCTGACGTCTGTATATCCCTTTCCCTCCAAGACGGAGTGCTGCACATATGCCCACTTCTATGGCCTGGTGTTCATGATGGGCTGCCCAGATTGTATGGTCACTCAGTGACCCCTGCTTAGGCATGCAGTCTCTACTGGAGCCCAGTAGCAAGCTGGCTGCTCCTTCTCAAAGCAGGAATGATTGTGTTGGAACAGGGCATGACTTTGTTCTCAATTCCTAGGGGGTCATTCTGTGACTCTGCTGTTAGTGTTTGACAGAGGCTTCATAACCCAGCTTATCTGCCGCAAATACTTTGGGCACCTTTGGAACTGCCAAGTTGTAAGGCTCAAGGGCAGAGCATCTGGGACCAGCTGTAGAGCCTTCTGCTCTGGACCACACTTAAAGCATGTAGCCTTACAGGTGGTTTGGTAAAAGGTTAGGAATAGTACTTTCAAATGTGGTAGAAGTTGCCTCCAAAATCCAAAGAGGCCCCGAACCTGAGAGGGCGGAAGTGGTACTACAGAGCGACAGACCACATCTGGCTCACTGTGTAAGCTTTTTGTAATTGGGCTCTCACTGCATATTCAGTTTTGTACTCGTGAGCCTTGTAAAGACTTTGTTGCTTTGATGGTTACATCTCTAGTCTTATTAAGCAACATCCCTGTGGTTTAACTTAAAAACCATAATGAGAGCAGCTCTCCGAATTCATTCAGAACTCTGTTACAAGGTATGATTCATAGTGCAGTTTCTTCGAGTGCGGTCGTGCACTTTATAGTGTGTAAGGATGCTTTAGCGCGTGTTTGAAGACTTTGATAACAATTATCTTTGTCGTTTGCCCGGATAGATGTGACGCCAGCATAGCCAGACTCTCTGCTGAGCACAAAACGACCTACGAGGGGCTCCAGCACTTGAACAAAGAACAGCAGGCTGCCAAGCTGATCTTGGAAACGAAAATCAAAGATGCAGAGGGACAGGTATGACCTGTTTCAGGTACCTTTTTGAAAGTGAGTATTTGTTCTTATCGAACAATAACATGCTGTTGATTATTTCCTGCCTGAGAAGCTAGGTAGGGCACCCAGCATAAGCATTCCTTTTCTTCTTCCTCCTTCTGTTTCACTTGAGTGGCCCTTTGTGAGTATGCGACCAAAATGGCAAGATTTTTCAGTACAGTCCTAATTTTAAAGATTCTTTCCCCTCCGTCAAACAATTAACATGTTCCAAAACTTCTAAATTATATCTCCAAAACAACCTCTTACACAGGTAAGTGATCAAAGCATTGTTTTACAGGGCACTCGTCCCAGTTGGGGCTCAGGAAATAGATACTTTATTCATGAGACTTACGGACTACCTCATCACATAGTTTGTATGTGGGAAAAGATTAAAACAAAGCTAGAGAGTAGGCTGGCTAATAAATTTCAGAGTATTCCATCTTGCAATTCACAGATTAATTTCTCAAAGCAAAACTCTTGGCATTTCAGTTTGTTTTTTGGCTTCCCCCCTTTGCCATAATGGGGCCTATCTTCTAGGACTTTCCCTACAGTGTCGGCCTTACTTGCTATTCTTCATTTAAAGAGAGACTGTTCAGTAAAATGGGGTATCTAGTCAATTTACTGGGTTAAACATACTTGTGTGCTAGCTACCTCTGATAAGGATCTAAAGCTACTTATGTAAAAAATAGTTATTATAAAACCTTGAAAAAAAGAATAAAATGAAATAAGTCCAATAATTTTCTCTAAAGAAATGTGAGGACAGAATTATTAGATCAGAAAATAGATGCTAAGGAAATACTAAGCTTTCTAGTAGCCAAACTGAGTAAAAAACATATAGAAATCCATAAAAAGAGATATAATTTTTCTTTGTTTCAGATCTGATGAATACTTATTCTGTGAATCTCGAATTAAGGAACATTGAACATCAGAATTTTTGCAGAAAATAAAAGCATTTCATAAAGGGCTAGTTTTATATCATTCAATACATTTTAATAAAAAGACAAGGGAAATGGATAGGTAGTGGGACAAAGGAGTGAGAGGGGTTATAGTTTAAAAAGTATATATTCTGGTAACTTAACTTGATATGGAGGTAAATCTGGGACCTTGATGGAATTTGTAAGTGATAAGAATTCCATTCTGTGATTAGCAACCACACTAATGGTAGAAATTCCAAGGTAAAAATGACTTACATTTTATGCCAGCAGGGGGAAGTAGTGCTCCTGGGCAGAAGCTGGGCTTGCTCATCAGAGACCTGTAGTTAAGTGCTCAGTGCATGATGAATATTTTGGCAGTGCTACTGGTCTGATTTTTTTTTTTTTTGGCTGTGCCACGCAGCTTGTGGGATTTCAGTTCCCTGACCATAGAATGAAACTGGGCCACGGCAGTGAAAGCCCAGAATCCTAACCACTAGACCACCAGGGAACTCCTTTGGTCTTGATTTATTTATTTATTTATTTTCGGTATGCGGGCCTCTCACTGTTGTGGCCTCTCCCGTTGCGGAGCACAGGCTCCGGACGCGCAGGCTCAGCGGCCATGCCTCACGGGCCCAGCCGCTCCGCGGCATGTGGGATCTTCCCGGACCGGGGCACGAACCCGTGTCCCCTGCATCAGCAGGCGTACTCTTAACCACTGCGCCACCAGGGAAGCCCCTGGTCTTGATTTTTGATGGGTGTGTATAAAAGAAAATGGAAGTGGAGAGATGAGGTGATCTCCTAAATGAATTTATGAAATTAGATTGAATTTAATGCCATTGATGAGAATACAGCTCACTAATGTTTTCTGAAATTACCTCTGAAAAGGTTTGATATGACATTTACAAGCGAAGTTTCTTTTCCAGATTTCTCAGCTTTTGAACAGAGTGGACTTGTCGATATCCGAGCAAAGCACCAAACTGAAGATGTCCCACAGAGACAGTAACCACCAGCTTCAGCTTTTGGATAATAAGTGAGTAATCAACTTAGAAACATCTGTTTTGGTTGAAGTTCTTCATGAGCTTACTCAATACTATCATTTTTTCCCTTTTGGTTTTTATTTATTGCACAAGCAAAGTGAAAACCATAATGGAAGTTCACGGGAAAATTTCCTTGTAGCCTGTTGCCACTTTACCTTCCTAATTATTGTTTTTAGTGATTGGATAATAACCCATCTGTTTATCCAACATATATTTCTTGAATATGGCCTAGGTGCTGAGGATCCAGCAATGAAGAAAAACAGGCTCTGTTCTTATCCTTGCAGAGTTGATAGCCTAGGGATCTGATGAGTATTAATCGAATAATGACCTAAACACAGCACACTAAATATGGTGCATGCCATATTGTCACTAATGGCGATAAGTGCTTTGAAGGAAAGGTACGTGGTTGTGGTACGCTGAATAATGGTTCCTCCAAATCTCGCCACGTTCTAATCCGTGTGACTATTATATGGCAAACAGGGACTTTGCAAATGTGATTAGATTAAAGATCTTAAGATGAGTAGATGATACAGTGTTATCTACGTAGTCCCTAGAGTCTCTATAAGAGGGAGGCAGGAGGGTTAGAATCAGGAGAGAAGGCCATGTGACAACAGAAGCGGAGATTGGAGTGTGATGTGCTATGAAGATGGGGGAGGGGGCCGTGAGCCATGGAAGACAGGCGGCCACTAGGGGCTTAAAAAGGCGAGGAAACTGTTCTCTCCTCAGAGCCTCCAGAAGGGACCACCTCTGCTCCAGTGAAAACTGATTTCAGACTTCTGGCCTTCAGAACCAAAAGGGAATGACTGTGTTGTTTTAAGCCACCAAGTGTGTGGTGACGTGTCACAGTAGCCGTGGGAAGCTAATAGGGTGGTGCTGTGAGAATGAGTAACAGAAGTCTGGTTGTGGGACCTTCCGGAGGAGGCGATGTTGGGAGTGAGAGCTGAAGCACGAATGGCATTCACGAGGAAAAGAGTGAGGTGAAGACACAGGAAATGGAATAGCCCGTCGCGGGAGGAATGTGACATGAGGGAAACTGCGGGGTGCAGAGGGGGCTGAACAGAGCGTGCTGGTGGGGAATGAGGCTGGAGAGGAGGTGGGCCAGCATGCAGGGCCCTGTAGACCGTGTTCAGGACATCTTGTTTCTTTCCCTGGAGCAATAAGGAGCCATTGGAGGATTTTAAGCAGATTGGGTGATATAGTCAGATGTATATGTTATTTTTTTTAAATGGCCTTGATTGCAGTTGGAAGATGGATCACAGGGGCTGAAGCAGAGGTGGGGACGTCGGCTGAGGGGGGCATTGTTGCAGGCGTCTAGGTGAGAGAGGTCTGCACCTAGGGGCTGCTGAGCTGTCTAGTTAAGAACCGTCTAATGTGTTATACTTTGCATTGTGTTTTAGTGACACTTTAAACTGGACTTGCCCCCACTGAAACTCATCTGCTGCTCTTCTGCTCAATCACAGAACCATACACTTTTCCCTGTCTTGAATCTTCATGAGCTTTGGCATTTTCCTGCCAAAGCAGAGCCAGTAGTGACCATAGATGTGTGTGTGTGTGTTTGTTTGTGTATTTGACTTATTATATTTTTTTAAAGATGACTTCAGTATGGAACTTTGTTAGAGGCTTGTGGAAGTTTTAAATTTATTATTCTCCTGGTTCTTGTATCTCATTCTCTCCATGCTTAATGCCATTTTAGGGTTATGGCTGATTTAACAGGAATTCTCTTACGAAAACCATGTTTCCTTTCCTCTAATTATCTGTATTTATATCATTACTGAGTTATGTCACTCTTTCTCATGATTCTGCAGTCTTGCCAAGTACAGAAAGATCTCCCATCCCCTTCCTTCCATCGCACAGGAAGAAAATAAACATCTTAGTATTTTTTCTTCCTTAGTAGATATTATTAGCAGTCATGAACATCTTTCTTTTTCTTCCTACAATTTAAAGTCCAGAAGTCTAGACACAAAGGCTGTTCATAGAGGTAAGGGGACCAAGCCTGGGGCCTGTGTAAGGTAGAAGGACAGATTAGAGACCCAAAAGGTAAAACCCTGGTTGGATGAACTAGGAGAAAAAGAAAAGTATTCCACAGAGACATCATAAGGAAACTTTCCTGTCGAAATCTTGATTCTGGGTAGAAGGGTAAAAGGCATTCCTTGAAAATTCAGGACCACAGTACAACGGATTTAGAGTTAGAATTCACGTTACCCAAGCACCTTGAAGAAACCAGAATAAGTAATTTATCTTAGAATGATCTTGATTTGGTAGTGGCCCGAGATGCCTGGCAGAAACAAATGCAAATACTCAGTCTTCAAGTCTTCCCACAGGCATGAAATTCTAAGGATGTACAGTCAGAAATTGTAGGCCAGGGGAGCTAAGATCCCACATGTCTCGCGGCCAAAAAACCAAAACGTAAAACAGAAGCAATATTGCCAAATTCAGTAAAGACTTTAAAAATGGTCCACATCAGAAATTGTAGGCCAACACAAGGAAAAAAAATCACATAAGTCATAGAGTGAGAAGAAACAACAATAAGCAGAATCAGACTTCTAAATACTGCATATATAGGAATTCTTGGATAAAGTGAGTGTGTATATATATGTATGTATGTGTATGTGTGGGTATTCACACACATACACATTTTGAAGGTACAACTAAGGAATAAAAGCTTACCAAAAATGAACAGTCAGGGGAATCCCCTGGCTGTCCAGTGGTTAGGGCTCTGTGCTCTCACTGCTGAGGGCCTGGGTTCAAGCCCTGGTCGGGGAACTAAAATCCCACAAGTGACATGGTGTGGCCAGAAAAACACCCAACAGAATTGACCAACAGCCAAATTGAGCTTCTAGAAAATATAATCATTGAAAATAAAATGTAACTTCTTGCCTCACCTGACCAGGGAGCCTGAACAGTGACCCAGATGGCCTTGGAGTCCAGCTTATAACCCTAGAAGTGGAGCCCAGCCCATGGCCCCACTTGATTGCCGAGCAGAGCCTTTGGCTTTGCCCAAGCAAGGAACCCAACCAACAACCCCCCCTAAAAGCAGAACATACCCAGTGACCTTACCTGACTAGGGAGCCCAGAGAGCAACCCCACTCAACCACAGAGCACAGCCTGCAGCTCCACCTGACTGCAGGGTACAGCTGGTGGCCCTGCCTGACCAGGGATCCCAGCCAGTGACCTTACTCATCAGGGGTGCACAACCAGCAGCCTGCCCAGTTGTGGAGCCTCAGGCCCCATCATGGAGTCATCAGCCAGCACCAGCACTATGCTAGGGAACACAATGACCCCACCGGACCAGAGGGAACTGCAGAGTCCAGCTGGAGGCTCCATTTGACTGTGTGACCCAGCTAGCAGCCCTGCCTTCCCTGGGAGCCCAGCCAGTAGGATCACCTGACCATAGAGCCCAGCCAGCAGTCCCCCACCACTCACACCTCAGCCCTTCCCAACTAGAGACCGAACAGACATATATAGAGCACTCCATCTAACAGCTGCAGAATATACATTCTTCTTAAGTGCACACAGAACATTCTCAGGATAGATCATATGTTAGGTGACAAAACAAGTCTTAACAAATTAAAGAAGAGTGAAATCATGTTAAGTACCTTTTCAAACCAAAATGGTATGAAACTAAAAATTAATGACAAGAGTAAATTTGGAAAATTCACACATATGTGAAAATTAAAGAACACACCCCTGAACAACCAGTGGGTCAAAGAAGATCAAAAAGGAAATTCAAAAAATCTTGAAACAAATGAAAATGGAAACACAACATACCAAAACTTATGGGATGCCACAAAGGCAGTTCTATGAAGAAAAAAGAAAGACCTTGAATAAACAACCTACCTTTATACCTCAAGGAATTAGAAAAAGAAGAATAAACTAAGCCCAAAGATAGCAGAAGGAAGGAAATGATAAAGATTAGGCCAGAAATAAATGAAATAGAGAATAGGAAATAACAGAAAAACAACTGGGGGAAAAATCAATAAAACTAATTGTTAAGCCAAATAGACAAAACTTTAGCTAGACTAACCCAGACAAAAAGAAAGAGGACTCAAATAAATAACATTATAAATGAAAGAGGAGATACTCTAACTGATAACACAGAAATACAGAGGATCATAAGAGACTACTATGCACGATCATATGCCAACAAATTGGATAACTTAGAAGACATGAATAAATTCCTGAAACAACCTACGAAGACGGAATCATGAAGAAATAGAAAATCTGAACAGACCAATGATGAGAAAGGAGATTAAATCAGTAATCAAAAACCTCTCAACAAAGAAAAGTCCAGGACCAGATAGCTTCGTGAGTGAATTCTAACAAACATTTAAAGAAGAATTAATGTCAGTCATCCTCAAACTCTTCCAAAAAGTTGGAGAGAACCCTTCCAAACTCATTTTATGAGACCAGCATTACTCTGATACCAAAACCAGATAGACATTACAAGAAAAGAAAATTACTGGCCAATATCCCTGATGAACATAGATGCAAAAATCTCAAAATGCTAAGAAACCAATTCAACCATGATCAACTGGGATTTACCCCTGGGATGCAAGGATGTTTCAATGTACACAAATCAATCAGTGTGATACATCACATTAACAGAATGAAGGATAAAAATCATTCGATCATCTCAATAGATGTGGAAAAAGCATTTGACAAAATTCAACATCATAATAAAGACTCTCAACAACTTGGGTATAGATAGAATGTATCTCAACATTATAAAGTCCACACATGACAAGCCCACAGCTAATCTAATACTCAACGATGAAATTTTGAAAGCTTTTTCTCTAAGATCAGAAACAAGACAAGGATGCCCACTCTCACCAGTTCTGTTCAACATAGTGCTGGAACTCTTGGCCAGAGCAATTAGGCAAGAAAAAGAAATGAAAGGCATTCAAATCAGAAAAGAAGAAGCAAAATTATCCCTGCTTGCAGATGATATGATCTTATAGAGAAAACTCTAAGGACTCCATCAAAGAACTATTAGAATAAATGAATTCAGTAAAGCTGCTGTGCTCCATGGTCAGTCTCCCAGGTTAGGTGGGGCTCCATAGTTGGGCAGGACTGCCGGCTTGGCTTCCTGCTCAGGTAAGGCTGAGAAGCTTTGTTTTTGATGATATGACCAGGAAGTTTACTTATCACTTCCTCATGTGTCCCATTGCCTGGCTTAGCCATAGGGCCACACGTAGCTGCCAGGGAGGCTGAGAAGTGTAGTTTTGACTAGGTAGCCGTGGATCCAGTTCACATTTGAGGGTTTCTTAATAGGGAAGAAGAGGAGAACAGATATTGCAGAGAATTGGGGGCTTCTACCACAGTGGGTGTTCATTTTATTATTATTATTAAGTCACATATATCCTTGTGTACCTTTATTACTTTCATAATAAAAATAAAAGGGGAGGCAGCAAGTGTGGGGTGTTATTTTAAGGTATGTGGAAGGGGAGAGTTATATAGGAATAGAAGTCCGGTCTTGTTTTTTTTTTAATCTTCTGTTTGGTTTAAATTAAGAAATATATCTGTATGGGGCAAGAGCAATTTGGAGGACATTAGAGAGATAGGGAGGCAGGCTCCAGTCCTGGGAGATAAGAGGGAGAAGCAGGAAGAGTCCAGGGCAAGAGGGGAGCCTGGAGGGGAGCCAGGCTACTGTGTCCTTTGAGCCAAGAGCACCCTGGACCCTCTGAACTGCAAAGATTAGTAGGTAGCGTGGCTCTCTGTCACTGTGTGACACCTTGGTGTCCACACTGTCAGCTCTGCACGGGTGGGAGTATTATTAGGTGCTTTTCTGTTATATCCTCCTTCTCTCCTCCCTTCCCAATGTAGCGCTAAGTGCAATTCTAAGAAAAAGGTAAGCATGTAATTCTGAGTGAGCTGAATTTAAAGCTGATATATTTCTGAGAGATTTGATAGTCAGAGACTGAGACTGTTTGATGTCATATTAAAATGGTTTTATGACTAACTTGCTAACTTCCTTATTTTAGATTTAAAGGTACAATTGAGGAACTCAGTAACCAGATTTTATCTGCACGGAATTGGTTGCAACAGGAACAAGAACGGATGGAAAAAGAACTTTTACAGAAAATCGATCAGCTTTCCTTTGTTGTTAAGGAAAACAGTGTAGGTGTTGATGTTCAGCCATAAACATAGTAAAGTTATTCGGTGGGACCTGCAATGTTTGAATAATACCTCGTAACTTATCATTGATTTATTTAGCTCACATTAAGCTGTTACAGTTGTTTCTTGCCTTAGAATCTCTTTCCATGGTTCATATTGACTCTTTGTGTTTGTTATAGAGAGACAGAGCACTTTGACTTGTTTTGGTTAACAAAGACTAAGTAGAAAGTTTCAGTGCTTTCAGCTAAGATGAAGCCAAATCCAGACCTTAATGAACCAAATTGTCCAGCTGCATTTACAATTACATACTTCATTTAGTTTGTTTTAATTCTGCGATCTGGTAGAAACAGTGTTGACTAGATTTCTCCCTCCAGGCCCCTCCGTCAAACTATAAACCCAGTATGAGGTGTCACAGTGCAAGATCTAAACAGAATCCAGTTTTCTTTTCCATGTTCCTTCTCATTTTACCCCACTCTCCTGCAGAACTAAGGTTTGCAGAACTACTCAAAAATCATGTCAAGGAAGCCTTGCATATATAGTATTCAATATCAGTACTTGGCAAGCAGTTGTTTTTTGGTTTGGTTATCTAGCCTGACCATCTCCCTCTCCCTTCTCTTTTCTTTCACTGCTTCCTCCCCTTGGACTTTGATGGAGCATAAGTGACTGGTGTAGATTGCATCTCTGGCTCTGCTCTCTCTCGATGCTGAGCTGTTGAATTGCAGACTGTGCACTGAACACGTCAAGAGAGTTTTGTTATGCTGTAGCCCCCTTACAGCTTGATGTTTGTAGTCTTGGCCTCTACAGCTTGCCTGCAGACCCAGATTCTCATAAGAACCAAGCATAGTGGAGGGGAAAGGAAAGAAAATATTCTGTTTCAAATATTTCTTTACGTGTCTCCATATTTTTATCAGATCTCCTGATTTACTTAGATTCATAATAATACATTTGTAGGCTTCTAGGTCTTTGGAGCACTATTTTTACATCTAGATAGGCTTAATAACTAACAATAAACTCCAGGATAATGGTGACTTTAATATGATAGAAGCTTATCTATCTTTCACGTAAAAGAAGTCTGGGTGTAGGAATCACAGGGCTAATGTGGTAGCTTGTCAGTCCTCAGTGACCCATGATCTTTCTGGTTTAACTCTCTGCCAGTCCTAGAGAGTGACCCTTGTACTCATAGTTCAAGGTGGCCACTAGAGCTCCAGCCATCACCTCTTAGTTCCAAGAACAGAAGAAAGAAAGAAGAGGCAAGGATATGCCTCAGCTATTTTTTAACTTTTCCTGGAAGTTGCCACATACGTTTGTACTTACATCTCATTAGCCGGAACTCAATCATAGGGCCACAGCAAACTCGGGAGACAATAGAAGAGGTAGTCTTTACTCTGGGTAACCTTATAGCCAGCTGAAAATCAGGGCTCTGTTATGGAAGAGGGGGAGAATGGATACTGGGGTGAGCACCAAGCAACCTTTGCAATTCTGTTCCCTGCAGATTGTTCTTAAATGGTATTATGACTGATGCGAATGCATCGGACTCTTTGGAGTAATCAAGTGCCATTCTTATCGTGGATCTCAGGGAGCCAGTGAAAGGGACATGGAGAGGAAGCTCAGCCAGATGTCAGCCAGACTGGACAGAATAGAAGAGAGTCAAAAGAAGAATCTGGAGGTGCAGAGGACAAAACAAGAAGAGGAGAAGGTGCATGGGCGAATCAGCAAGCTTGAGTTACAGATGACCGAGGACATGAAGGAAATGAAAGCAGAAGTTGATGCGGGTAGGCCAGAAAGAAAACAGTTCTCTGGGTCATTTTCTATTTGATCTAAAAGCCAATGAATTAATATTACCCTACAACTACCACCAACCTGGCTGATGAAGTGTCCTTAGGTGATTTTCTAAGTAGCTGTGGTATATTGAACGAAAATGTTGCTTCATACCCAAGGACATGAAGATAGACCTCGAGAGACAGGCAAACAAACCTAAAATCGCTTAGCTTGCAATTGATGTACATTTTCTTTAGTGCCATCTGCAGATTCTTTTCTGATCAAAGCCAAGGTCAATATGCCTCAGAAATAAGCATATATCTTTTTTTTTAGGCTTAAATACTTTCTTTATTCTATATTTACTAAATGTGTCTCCCATGCTTATTTGATCCATTATATAATCTAGCAACAGAGAACTAGAGAATATATAGGGAGTAAGACAAAATGAAATCTTAACAAAATTAAAGAGGATATTTTTATTCTTTAAGATTAAATACTATTAAAACTAAAATGCATTGTTTTCTTCTCTGTTAAAAGCATTTTATATGTATATATATAAAGCATATATCTTTGAGGGGCCTTTGAAGGCTTATTTTATACTGCTGGCAATATCCCACCATGGCAATGAATGATTTCCCTCTGCTCAAAAGTCCACAGGGCCCATTCCTCCACACTTGTTTAGAAGACAGTGTTAGAGATGATTTTAAGTTCTGAAGTGCTGCCAGGTAAAGGAGGGATTCGATTTATCCTCTGAACTCAGGAATACAGAACTGGGACCAATAATTGGAAGTTACCTGAAGACAGACTTTAACTCAGTATGAAGCAGAAGTGTCTACAGTTAACGGTCCTAGAAAGACACGGGTGCTTTGTGAGCCTCAGAGCTCTTTACTGAAAGTATTTAAGTGAAGACTTGTTGACCATGGTCAGGAAAGAGAAGACAGTCGGGTAGTGTGGGAAGGGGAACTATATTATCTCCTGATTCCTTCCAGTTTTCTGGTTCTGTGAATTTTCTTCATGGAATTGTTCTATTTTGGCCACATGGAAGTAAAAGTAGTTAGTTATCCCAAGAGTAATTTTGTTGTAACCACCACAAGGTTACTATTTTATTTAAGGAGAAGCTGCCATTAAATTTATGAATTTTAGAACTTGTGAAGATAAAAATGAATTTTCTTTCTTGGTCTTTTGGTCTTTTGGGTAGAATGTGGTATATGAATATTTTATTGATGGTTAACTTTGCATCATTTGCTGAGTGGATTTATTATCAGCTATCCAACATATCACTGAGGTTGTGAATAGTTAGTACCTAATAAGAAATGCATATGAGCCTTTTAAAAATTAAAAATATTGACTTTTTCTTGTTACGAAAACAAACTTCTTAGTGGAAAATCATAAAGCACACACACACAAAAAAACCCTCCTATTACCCAGAGTTCTTTTATACATATATTATCTTTCTATACATACAGAATATATATATGCTTTTCCAAATACAGGCTCACGCAATACATGCTGAATTGTAACCTACTCTTTTATTTAGTAATATGTTGTATCTTTTCATTCAGTAAGGACATTATTTTTTTAAAAACTCACTCATTTTTTATTATTAATATTATTATTATTATTATTTTGGCTGCACCACGTGGCTTGCGGGATCTTTAGTTCCCTGACCAGGATTGAACCCAGGCCCTCGGCAGCGAAAGTACTGAGTCCTAACCACTGGGCCACCAGGGAATTCCCAACAAAATTATTTTTAATAAGGAGTTTTTATACTTCTTTTTCATGAATTGTTACATAAAGAAAATTTTCGGAGAGAAAACTCTAAATATGCTAATGAAGACAAGATGTTTTTGACACTTATTTTAAAAACCAATAGGGGACTTCCCTGGTGGAGCAGTGGTTAAGAATCCGCCTGCCAATGCAGGGGACATGGATGGGTTCGATCCCTGGTCCAGGAAGATCCCACATGCCGTGGAACAACTAAGCCCATGCGCCACAACTACTGAGCCTGCACTCTAGAGCCCGTGAGCCACAACTACCTAGCCCGTGAGCCACAACAACTGAAGCCAGTGCACCTAGAGCCAACGCTCTGCAACAAGAGAAGCCATTGCAATGAGAAGCCTGTGCACCGCAACGAACGGTAGCCCCTGCTCACCGCAACTAGAGAAAGCCCATGCGCAGCAACGAAGACCCAAAGAAGCCAAAAATAAATTAATTAATTAATTTTTAAAAAACCAATACGAATATAGAATAATACAAAATTACCTTTTGCTTGGGAATTTTTTCTATTTTTAGCTTTTTATTTTGAAATAATTTCAAATTTAGTAAAACCATTAAGACTAGTCCAAAAACTGTACATCTTTCACTTAGATTCACCAATTGTTAACACTTTTGAAATTTGCTTAATGTGTGAGTGTGTGTATGAATATGATTTTTTTTCCTAAATCTTTTGGGAGTAAGTTGCAGAAGCCAGAGTACCTTTTTACCCCTATATTATTTCAATGTATATACCCTAAGAACAAGGACATTCTCTTAAGTAACTATGGTACAGTGTAATATTGATGAAACATTTTTCTTTTTTTTTTTTTAAGGAATTTTGCCTTTTTAAAAAAAAAATTTATTTATTTTTGCTGCGTTGGGTCTTTGTTTCTGTGCGAAGGCTTTCTCTAGTTGCGGCAAGCAGGGGCCACTCCTCATTGCGGTGCGCGGGCCTCTCACTATCGCGGCCTCTCTTGTTGCGGAGCAGAGGCTCCAGACGCGCAGGCTCAGTAGTTGTGGCTCACGGGGCTAGTTGCTCCGCGGCATGTGGAATCTTCCCAGAGCAGGGCTCGAACCCGCGTCCCCTGCATCGGCAAGCAGATTCTCAACCACTGCGCCACCAGGGAAGCCCTGATGAAACATTTTTCAATACTCAATTTTCAAGTTTCACCATTGTTTCCTTTACAGCAGACCTTCCCCAATCCAGGTTCTAATCCAGAATCACATATCATATTTAGTTATCATGTTTCTTTATTTAGTCTCCTTTAATCTAGGTCAGTTCCACAGTAATGTTGTCATCATTAAAGAGCACAAGCCAGCATTTTGTGGAGTGTCCCACAGTTTGGATCTGTTTGCTTCCTTTTAATTAGATTCAGGGTGTGCATTTTGAACAGAAATGCCACAGAAGTGATGTGTCCTTCCCAGGGTTTTCTTATCGAGGATACATGATGTTGGTTCCTCCCAGTGTTGGTGAAGTTAGCTTTGATCTCTTGGTTAAAGTGGTGTCTGTCAGATTTCTCCACTGTAATATTTCCTTTTTCCCTTTGTATCTATCTGTAGGGAGATACTCTGAAACTAGGTAACTATTCTGTTTCCCATCAAACTATTATTCCAGTAGTTTTAGTATCTATTGATATCTTTTGCCCAGATCAATTATTACTATCTACTGTAGATTTGATACAGGCTTGTTTTTTAATATTGACTCCTATGAAATTTACCTCTTCTTAAAGGGTTTACAGCCATCTATGAAAGCATAGGATCCCTCAGGCAAGTTCTCGAAGCCAAGATGAAGCTGGACAAGGACCAGCTACAGAAGCAAATCCAACAGATGCAGAAGCCGGAAGCTCCAATGTGAAGGGACTTGGGACATGGACCTCAAAGGTGGTTTTGCCAGTGGGGCCGGGAACTGGATACCTCTGTAGCCAGGCTGTACCTGCATTCAGGATTGTCCTATTCATGGTGTGCATGTGCCGAGAAATGTGTTTTCATGGTTCTAAATGTTTACCTGGAGTCTTGAAAACACTCTCTTTAAAAGTATTACGTACAGTTTTTACCACTTTATTCCACTTCTCTAAATTCAATGGAATATCCTGCCCTCCCTGGATTTTGAAAGGCTTTTATCCCTTTCGTTTTATGAATGAGAAAAGACTTAACAATTTTCCTTCGATGCTTGATGCTCTAGCCAAGACTTTACTCTTGAAAAATGTCGTGGTGATTTTTTTAAATTAAGAAGATAATGAATTATCACAGGAATGTGTTGTTCCTCACCCTAAATTAAGAGAATGTCCTGATAGATTAGAATTCAACCCTTGAGTCCATATTTGGATTTTATTATTGTTGTCTGTGCATTTCTTATATTGGTATTTTCTTGTAAATCTGTCTTTTGTAGGGGGAGAGGATTTAACATTTGGAAAAAACCCTACCATTTATGCAGTGAAAATAGTTTAAAAATTGATAACTGCCATATAGATTACAAATTAAAATGGAAACTTAAGACAATTATCTAGATAATGCAAGGCACACTTATCTACATCGACCACCTAGTTATACCAGGTTTTAATATTGAAAACTTTTTTCAATTATCCACCGCCTGTATAGTGATAGCCATATATTCAATAACGGAATGGCGGTTAATAGCCTGTTTATTACACAATTAGTTGTTCATTAATCGTAATGGGATGTGAAAATTTTTCAGGCTCTTTGATCTCCTCTCTAAATTTTTTCCAAAATTGACACAAAGTGCTAAGGTTTATATACACTTATTGTAACTATATTCTTGTGCCTTGGTTTTATCACGTCAGTGCACTGTACCCTATAAAAGTTTTGCGGACAAAATAGAAGGCACGACAATACATCAGAATTATGATGTAAAAATGGGATCCTATGTATTTTTTAAATGCTCTTAAGAGTTTTATCACTGTTAAGATGTTAATCATTCACTGTCAGTGACGGAACAGATATTCACACTTTTGTACGGCCAGAGAATCAAATTGATATTGCATTTATAACAATGTTAAGAAACGTTCATTTTGAGCAACTTCGTAGATGATGGGTGTTTTATTTTCAGTCGCTATATTTGATTAGGCGTTGAAAATGGGCGCCAGTGCTATTCGTTCACCTATGTCTGTAAAAGCTAATAGTGAGACACACGCCATTCTAAACTATGAGGGTGGCCAGGAAAAAGAAAACAGGGATACTTTGAAAAATTGAAAAACTTTTTTTTTGTTTGCCTAGGACTCAGGAAAATTAAAGCATTTTCTATTTTAGAAGAAATCATAACTGAAATCTCTAACTGGCTATTACTGTTCACCCATATAAATTATGCTGCTGAAGTACATAATAGTTTACCCTCAATGGCTTGACAAATTTTTTTTTTAATTTGGACCTGAGAAGTCACATAAGGAATATGTCATCCAACACATATTTCCTTATTTTGTCACAAATCTTTGCATCTCTATATAGGAAGACTATGTCCACTTCATGAAAAAACAAAAAGGTTAATGCTCTTCCGCAATCAGAAAGTGAGTTTCTTTTTGTGATAGAGTAGCCGTGTTTAGTACAGTTCTCCTGGCTTCAGCACAAACCACAGCACCGAGAGCCGTGGCCCCCCCAGCGTCTCTCTCCTCTGCGGGCCCCGAGGAGGAACAGTCAACACGTGTCACACCTGGGAAGAGGGGGACAGAGGACACCAGCTGGACTCAGGTCAAGGGGTGACGTGAGTGGGTGATGCTTCTAATGCTGCCACCACCACGTCACGAGTTCTGGCGGGGGTTCTCCACCCTGGCTGCAAGTTGGAATCACCTGGGCGGTTCAAAAAGCTACCAACGCCCAGACTGCACCCCCAGACCAACTAAGTCAGAACCTCTGGGAGGGGATGCAGGCGGCCGCACATGTCAGAGGCCCCTGGGTGACTACGTGTTGTGAGCCCCGAGCTCCAACGTCCTCTTATCACCAAAGTTTAAATGAGAATCAGCTTCCCTGTAGTTTCCTTTATCAGAAATTTGCAATAAAAAGAATAAAACTTCCAAATCAGTGTGGCGTATGATTTTTAAACTTTTAGACTTTTAGTGTGAGGTGAAATTTAATTAGGTAAAATACCATAGGAAATCTCCTCTTACTTTTCTGGGGAAACCTTTTGGTGGTTGAAATAAAGTGCTCTGAGTCCTGGCAGACCTGCTGGTAAGTGGAAAGTCATGGGGAGCTGCTCCATCCTTGGGTCTCCAGCTATGGGTGTCTTCTCGGCTCTGGAATAACCACAGCTAGCAGTTCCTAGCGTGTGCTGTGTGCCCACGCTACGACCTTGGTGGATGTTCACTCATTTCATTATAACAACAACGAGTTGAGTTAAATACTGTTTGTTTCCCCATTTTACAGATGAGAAAACTGAGTCATGTAAAGGTGAAGCAGCTTGCCCCAAATCCTGCAGCGGGTAAGTGGGAGGCATGATCAAACCTGGCAGCTTACTTCCACAGTCTGGGCACCTACCCTACCCTACCCTACCTCTAAAGATACAGCCTTGCCTAACTTTTTTTTTTTTTGGCCACACCATGCTGCATGCGGGATCTTAGTTCCCCGACCAGGGATCAAACCCGAGTCCCCTGCATTGGGAGCACAGAGTCCTAACCACTGGACCACCAGGGAAGTCCCCAGCCTTGCTTCCCACATAACTCGGACTTGCCAGGCCACTGACTCCAGCCCCATCTCTGCATGACCTTACGGTTCTGCCATCTGAGTCGCTGTGCATTTTAATGCCCCAATTTCAAATATCAGAGAGAGGCAATCTTATTAGCTTTGCTTGGGTCACATGTCTTCCTCTGGTTGTATCAGTGTAGGTGAGGTAGTTGATGCCACAGGACTGTAGGATCATAGGCATTTCATCCCCTGTCCTTGGCTGTCCGAGGTAGTGGACTGTGGCTCTGTGCATTGGGAGATGGGTTGTGTTGGGTGAGTACAGAGCAGAATAGAAAGACAGCGCCCTCTGAATTGTGGTCATCCCACTAGGCTTTCAGCCTGAAAAAAAAAAAAAAAAAGTCACAAACCACTCAGGACATCCTGGAAACTCAATGGTAACTCTGTGGAGTTTTTCTGTCACTGCTGTGTGACCTTGGGTAGTTCTTAACCTCTCTGAGTCTCATTTTTCTTATCTGCAGAATAGAGATTAAAATAATTTAAAAGAGGGAGCTGGTTCATCGTTTTCAAAATACTGAAGTAATTTATGCAATATGTATTAGGTATCAGATGGTGAAAAATGGGGCCTGGGGAGGGCAGAAAATATATGGGGGTCCATGTTTCGGTCCAAAGTGTCCCAGTATCTGCGGGGACTGTGTATGGGCAGTGATTAACCTCCGAAGAAAGTGATAGCCCAGCCTGAGACAGAGAAGAGCAGTAGAGTCTGTATGAAGAAATAAGCAGATGGGACCAGCATGGAGATAATCCCTGAATGAGGGGAAGGGCTGGGTAGATCCTCAAGCTAGTTGGTCTCATCTGTGGAGCAGGTGTGGCTTCCCCAGGAGCATTGAGAGGGTTGTGATGGGTGGGATCAGAGCTGGGGAAGGACAGACTCCACATCAGGAAGGGTAAAGATAGATACGGAGGTTGAGGATGCAGAGCCCGGAGCTCAGGTTGGGAATTGAGATGCAGAACCATGGGGGCTGAACCCAAATGGCTGGCTGGCATTTGAGGCTTTTTTATATATAGACTGGAAGACTCAGTGTGTGGCTGGGCTGGATGACAAAAGGTGTGCATCAGAAGCAGACAATAGTCAGCGCTGTGCTAAGGAAAAACTGCCAGGTGAATTCAGTATCCCTTCGAATAGCAGCAGTACCGTAGAATTACACGTAGGATAATGTGCAGAAGCTTGTGTTTCTCATGCTGAGTTTTGGGTCCAGTTAATGTCAAAAACATTTTTTGTCATCCGTATAAATCCAGAGTTAAAGGACTTTTCTAGGTATCCTTTTATGTAGGTACTTGCACTGCAGATCCACCTATTAGAGTCAAAATACTGGCTGTGGTAGGCAGTATGGAACATGTCTCCCAATGATCCCTACCTGCTGGCATTCACCCCTTGTGCGATCCCCTCCCCTGGAGTATGGCCTGGACTTGTTAACGCACTTCTCGTGAATAGAATATGGCAGACGTGGTGGCTTGTCACTCCTGAGATTAGGTTATAAAAGGATTCCCCCCGACCCCCGTCTTACCCCTTGTGCTGTGGAGGCAAGCTGTCCTGTTGTAAGTAGCCTCGTGGACAGGGCCGTGTGGTGTAGTCAAGAACTGAGGCCTTCAGTCCAATAGCCTGAAATGAACCGACACTTTCCAGCCATCATGTGAGTGAACTGAAGTGAATCCCCTCACCCCAAAGAAATGAAAGCAGGAACTTGGACAGTTGTATACCTGTGTTCATAGCAGCATTGTTTACAACAGTCAAAAGGTGGAAGCAGCCCAAGTGTCCACTGATGGTTGAATAGATATGCAAAACATTGTGTATGCATACAGTGGAATACTATTCAGCCATAAAGAGGAAGGCACTTCTGACACATGCTACTACGTGGACATTATGCTAAGTGCAATAAACCAGTCACAAAAGGACAAATATTCTATGATCCCACTTGTACGAGGTACGTAGAGAAGTCAAATTCATAGGGACAGAGAGTAGCATGATAGTTGCCAGGGGCTGAGGGGTGCTGTGGGGAAGAGGGAGTTAATATCTAACCCACAGGGAGTTTCAAGTGGGGAAGGTGTAAAAGTTCTGGAGATGGATGGTGGTGACGGTTGCACAGCAATGTGAATGTACTGAATGCCACAGAACTGCACACTTAAAAGTGGTTAAAATAGTAGATTTTACATATAGCTTACCACAATAATAATGTAGAAAAAAAGAACCAAAGAAGTGGAATTAATTAGGAGTGGGTTATTTTCATTGATTAAAGTTAAGGTGGAAAAGCGGGGTTGTCCTAGCAGTGCGAAGGAAATAATGCAAGTACTATAAACAGCTGGGAGGGACGTGGCAATTAAGGGTTATTTGCGGGCCTCAGGCGTTGGTATAAGATAAGTTAGTGGTTTTGAGAATTAGGTCTTTAGAATAAAATCCAGTGAGGAATGGTATTCCTGTCAGTGCTAGGCTTCCAATAATGAGGGCTGTTACAGTAGAAGGTACTGCTTTAAATAGGCCTTCTATTTTTCAAGTGTCTTGTTCATCATTTAGGCTGTGAATAATAGAGCACCTAAACAATGTGGCCTTAAAAAAGGTGTGTGTGCAGATGTGGAGGAATGCTAGATAACGCTGGTTAATACCGATTGTTGCCATTATAAGGCCTAACTCGCTTGAAGGAGAAAAAGCAACAGTTTTTTGTTTGTTTGTTTGTTTGTTTTGGGGGTTTTTTTGCGGTACGCCGGGCCTCTCACTGTTGTGGCCTCTCCCGTTGCGGAGCACAGGCTCCGGACATGCAGGCTCAGCGGCCATGGCTCACGGGCCCAGCCGCTCCGCGGCATGTGGGATCCTCCCGGACCGCGGCACGAACCCGTGTCCCCTGCATCAGAGGGCAGACTCTCAACCACTTCACCACCAAGGAAGCCCCGACAGTTTTTTTTTAATATCATCTTGGGTAAGGGCGCATATTGCTGCAAATAGTGTAGTAATAGCCCCTAAGCATAATGCTACTGTTTGGATGAATTTATTATTTTCTGTTAAAGGGTAAAAGCGGATAAGTAGGAAAATACCTCCTACAACCATTGCGCTTGAGTGGAGTAAGGCTGAAACGGGGGTAGGGCCCTCCCCTCTGTTGCTGAGGGAAGTCGTGGGTGAAGACCAAATTGGGCGGATTTTCCAGTTTCAGCTAACACGAGTCCTATTAGAGGTAGGTTTGAGTGGCCTAGGTCGAGTATGAAGATTTGTTGCAGATCTCATGCATTTGAGTTAAATAGAAATCATGCTATTACTCTAATAAATCCAATGTCTCCGATAAGGTTACATAGAATTGCTTGGAGAGCAGCTGTATTTGCATCTGCTCATCCAATAAAAAGTTGAAAAAAAGTTGTTAACAGTGACAAGAATTAATATTGTGATAAGAAAGAGGAGTAAATATTTAAAGAATCGGTTAACATTAGAATCTGAGTGTATATATCATATTGAAAATTCTATAATAAACCATCTTATGAATAATGCTACTGATACAAATATTATTGAGAAATAGTCTGTTTTGAGGCTAAGTGATAATTTAAGGGTTTGGATGGTAATTCATCGTCAGTTTGAGATAATTATTTCTTGGCCTGTATGAATGAATATTATTGTTAGAATTAAGCTAGTAACAAAAGCATATGAGGGCTTCCCTGGTGGCGCAGTGGTTGAGAGTCCGCCTGCCGATGCAGGGGACACGGGTTTGTGCCCCGGTCCGGGAAGATCCCACATGCCGCGGAGCGGCTGGGCCCGTGAGCCATGGCCGCTGAGCCTGCGCGCCCGTAGCCTGTGCTCCGCAACGGGAGAGGCCACAACAGTGAGAGGCCCGCGTACCGCAAAAAAAAAAAAAAGCATATGAGATAGGGGTTTTTACATATGGTGGGTATTTGTTGCTTTTGTAAATGTTGGTGTTTGTTATTATAATTGGTATTGTTAATATAAAGAGTGTGACTAACGTGAAAGAGGAGAATAAGTTTATTTCTTTTATTTGGAGTTGCACCCACCCGAGTCAAGACTTTAGTTGAGACTGCAGCCCTGGCAGTTTTACTACAATCTCATGAGAGACAGTGAGCCAGAAATACCCAGCTAAGCCACATGCACATTTTTGACCCACAGAAACTGTGAGGTAATAAAATACGTGTTGTTTGAAGTCACTACATTGGGGGGTAATTTGTTATATGCAATAATTAACACACCAGCACTGGGGAACCTTGACAGAATTTTTTTGTGGAAATGCCTGATGTTATGTTACAAATTAGATTGTCCACATATATAATCCTGTTTAATACACTTTCTGAGCAGGAAATGACCTTAAAAACATATCGAATGACATAT